AGAGTCCGCGTGCCGTCCAACAAACTATCCACGCGCAAGAAGGCAATTAACGCTAATGTTTGCAGTAATGACTGTATCCTACAAATTCTGCAAACTCCTGTGCATGTATTACCCGTTTCTGCTACTGTTTTCTGCTAATGTCTCTGATGATGAATCAGCGACGGATTTCGAAACGTCAGGCGACTAAATGTATTGTCCCAGCGATCGAGTCGTCTTCTTCTCACTTAGCTCTCTATCGTTTCAGTACACTGCCGAACTTGTGATCGCAATTTTTTATGTGCGGAATTCGACTAGTTAACATTTTCTCCGCATACTTTTTCGCCCACAAGCCGATCGCGCCATGCGGACGGTGTGAAAATGATGAGTTTGAGAACTGGCATAAAATGCTATGAATAGGTTACGTTGTTCACTGTTGGAGACACGTAGAAAGTAGTTCTAAATATATGCAGTCTAAATTCCGGCCCACAATTTTCGTTTTCTTTTCAAGGAAAAATTATCCAAGGGAGTTTCTGCATTCACTAGCATGAAGCATTACTTCAGACTATTTTTTCACGTGATGGCATTCTGGTTTTAGATTGACCATATTTCCATCCATCTGTGAGGATCACGATCGGTGCAAATTATCACTGAATTACTGTTCTTTTTATAAAATCGGTCGTTCTTAGGTAGATGCATTATTTACCTCGAATACTTCGGGAGGAACGCAAAAATATTTTGGTGATTGTTTCTCACATATCCTTCTAACGCAAGGGCCTTTTCCATTTTTTTCTGCAAATTTCATAATCGAATTAGCTTATTCCTCATTTCCTCTACTTATTCGTTTTGGCAAATTTGACTGAATTTGTTGACACACCCAAAAAGACTGAAGCAATAAATATTAAATTGGGAGTATTTTGCATCCGAGTGTCAGTTCCATGGGTAGGAAAAGAAGTTCGGTAGCCAAATTCAAAGTTCCCAATGAACCGATCTTGTAGCTTTCTTTTTTAAGTTTTACCATTGGAAAGTTTGCAAAAGGCGTTCGACCAATGAGCGTCTGTGTATCCTTCGGCAAATGTAGCTTACGTAGGCCCACTCATTAATCCCTACTTCCTGCATGTTGTCCTACAAAAACGTTGGTGATAGGGTTTTG